TGGTGGTGCTGTTGGAGCCTGGTGCAGTGGTGGTGCTGTTGGAGCCTGGAGTTGGGCTGATTCTGTTGCTGATCAGACCCAGATTCAGTGTGTCCAGCTCTGACTGCAGCTGCAGGTTGATCCAGGTCTGAACTACAGTATCATTCTCAAACAGCTTCAGATCAGGTAGGTGCATACCCACGAGGCCTTTAACGTTGCTCACAGTCAAATTCTGTGAATTTTAAATAAATAACAGAAAACAAAATTAGTCTGAAGCTGTTAACACACAAGACAAAGAAGCCAAATATAAATGCCTTCTTTTTAAATATTATCATATTATGTTAAATAAAGAGCATGAGAAATTTGAAAGACTACATATGGTGGTTTATGTTGCCAAAGCACCTAAATCAGGAACTTGGTTGACATTTACATATATCAGCAGCAGTTTAGCTATTTCTTATAAGAACTATTTAAAAAGAAAATCATAGTTTTCATGGCACAACTCAGACATATAATAAAGTCACATTAAAAATTAGATGTAGGTGGATGTCCAAAAAGTTTTCGTTTCATTTCTTTAACAACTATTCTTACAGCTATAACAGCAGGGTCCAGACTGCTGAAAGTGCTTATGTCCATGCTGATGTTTTGTGTTGACAGTGTTACTATATCCTGCAGAGGTGCTCCACCTATCAAGAAAGGAAATGAAACAGGAAATTAGAAAGCAGTTTTATGAGAAATAGAGAAACAGCTACGCAAACAGACAAAATGTATTCTCACCTAGATAGGGCTTAATCAACTGGTAAATGATACTGGAGTTGGACCGTTGTGAGCTGAAGGAAGTGGTACTGATGCCATACAGGACTTGCTTCTGCTCAGCTGAACATGATGACACATTCAGAGGGCTAGCATTTCTGTCAAGGGGAAAGAAGAAAGAGACATACAGTGTTACGTGTGCATGACCACTCACATTTGGCAATGTTTTTATATCGTTGAGCTGCAATCTGACACCAACCTGATGCTGTCTGGGCTGATGGTCTGCAGTGTACTGGTGTTTAGTGAGCACAGGTTGGAGTCAATAATGGTCAGCTCAGTGCTGCCCAGCGAGTTTCCAGAAGTGCTCAGATACTGAGTGATGATTTTGTTGCTCTAAGCGACATTAAAGAAAAGGTATCATGTAAGAATAATAAGACTATTAAGGATAAAAGTGAAATGAATTCCACCTCTTATACCTTTGCTGCCTCCCAGGGTCCATCTTCAGCTTTCATTAGAGCTCCAAGGGTGTCAATTTTGGTTATCTTCCACTTGGATATATCGTCAAGTGATGCCACACGAGACACTGATCCAAGCAACTGGACATCCTGATCAGGAACCCCTGACGGGAATGCCTGCAACAATAGAGAATGTGTAATGCTATGTGCTAATGTGCTAAATCCCAAATTTGAAACAATATCCCATTTGCAAATTCTGCCATTTAATAATAAGTCCGTCTAACATAATGAATGACATTTTGGCTCTTTTCCCACACAAAATACCTCATTGAGTTTCTTTAGGATGACAGTCTGGAAACCATTATCATCCACTTTGTTGCAGATGGAGTTGAGGTTTTCTTTCAGAACGGGAACATCCAGGCAGAGGTCAAACTGCGTGAGATCATAGCCAAAGGGGAAGGCGGAGTCGCTAACTGTCACCTGGGTGATGTTGCCCGTGGTACAACCTTAAGAACAATTAGAGATGCAGATGAGAGTGCTGTGCAAGCTACGGTTGCCTTTATATATAAAAGCAAATATAATAATTAAGTCATATAACATTTGAGCATAAAATATGGGTTATTGTGCAAGTCTGTCTAACTTTAAAACCTGACTTCTCTAAGTTCACTGAATCTTTTGCTATCTGTACTCGTACCACTAAAGCAAAGTGTTTACATTGTCTATTTATTTAAGTTATACAGTTATACAATTATTAATCTCCCGCTGACTAATTGTTTTTGCTTCAGTTTGAATAGCTGGTGTGAAAACAAATAAGAGCAAGGTCGCACCTGCTCCTCGTTTTGTTGTCCGGCCGCTGATCGCTTGGAACAGCGTCTTGAGCTTGCTTTTCTCTGTGTTTGCTTTCCTCAGTTCGGGCATGAAGGTCTTCAGGAACATTTTCTTTGTTGTCTGTAAAAAACACAAAGGTACCCAAACTGATTTCTAACACAAGTTATTTGAATGAATATTGTTAGACTAGATACTATCAAGCAACGAGAAAAAACATACAAAATCGAACCAGTTCCAGATATTTCTTGTGAAGTAGAGTGGAAGGGGTACGAGGTTCTCCAGTGTTTGCTTGTTCCAGGAAGCGGCATTTCTGAAAATAGAAGAGGATATTTTCTTACAGTGCTAACTTGAAAGAGGTAGTATGGGCTACAAAATTTGGTGGCATGGCTACTAGGTATTATATATACAAAGTCCTCAAAATGAAACTGGCAAGTTTGTGCCAATGAATCAAGGTTTATGACTTCATTTTAAAAAATAAGGTAGTTGTGTTTTTTAAACTCTTGACAGAATGACTTGTTTTTATCATTGTACCCATATTGTGTTGTTCCAGACAGCAGCAATGTCTCCATGGCTGCCACCTGGCTGGCAGAGAAGTCATTGCAGGCTTTAAGTTTCTCCAGGATGAGAGGATCTGCGTTCTGTATGTAAGACCCATCCAGAGTGCAAGCCATGTTCCCCAAGATCTCTATATTCTCTCTGCTCAGGCTCAAGCCATTTATACCCTGAAAACAGAAAACAGGAAAATGCTGTATTTAAAAAACTGTATGCAACCTTATCAGTGTCAGAGTGTAATTCATGCATTTATTACCTTTAGACATATACATGTAAAAAACAACAACAAAAAAAAAACCATCACTCACCAAGCACACAGTGGCTTCACGGAACAGCTGCGAGCCCTTATTCAAGATTTTGGAGGCCACAGAGAAGTCTGCCGCACCCAGTGCAGAAAAGTATGACCTGCAGTTGCCTTTGTTAACATTTTTGCTGCTGTTTTTAGAAAAAAAAGAAAGGTAAAATCAGTAATTATTCTTCACATTAGTGATGCATTTTAAGGTGAGTGCAAGAAAATGCTTGGAGACACCGAATCACCTTAAGTAGAGAAGCATGTCTGATGGATAATCTGTAAAGTTTTGTGAGATTTCTCCACTCAGCAAGTTGAGCATGCAGGTTAGCTGTAGAAAACAGTGTGGGAAAAAAGAGGATTCCTCAGTGATATGCAAGTAAGCTGTTTCTAACACTGAAACTGATGATTCGTGCATTATCCTAACTTTCAAAAGAAAAAGAAATCCTCAACCTGATGATTTATGTTTCTGGTATTTTATATCCATATAACATACACATCTTAATTGTTAACTTCATTTTAAGAGTCATAGTAATATTATTAAATTCCTTTCTAGCAGATGTTACCTGGGATTCCTTTAACTGCACTTTGGCTCGGCCTGACCGGGGCCTACAGGCCCTGATTAGCTCCTTGGTCCTGAATTGTGTCATTTTCTGGGCAGAAGTGCAAGTGAAGCCTTGCAGCACTGAGGGAGAAAGCCTGCGGGGAGGATTGATGAACACCAGAAAGAAATGATAAATAATCCCCTCTTCAAAATAAACCTACAGGGCCAAATAGTTATATGACTTATTCACTTACTGCTCAATGTCAAAGTTTGTGTTGTCAAGGACCCCAAAAAAGATGGCAGCCTAAAAGAACAAAAAAAGAACAAAAGTTTCGTATTATTATCTGTAACATCGACTTTAAAAAGTCATTTTTGATTAATAATGCTATTGTGTGTATTTAACAAAATGTTAACCTGATCTGGTGTCCAGGTTTTTCTATTGAGCACGGTGATGTCTGCAGATTGGTCAGAAAACACCAACAGGGATGGTGGGATCTCAACTGCCATAGCATCTGGCACATTCAGCACCACTTGTGATGGATTTGTGTCCAGAGAAATGATCTACCAGGTAGGTAAATGCATTTAGGATTAAATGTAATGAGTGGAGTAATAATATCATGGAATACAGAGTTAATATTGATATCAAAGTAATTCTAATATTTAAATATCATAATGCCAAAGAAAAATAAGTTGATGTCCTCCAGATCATAGCATTTACTTTATATTGTCTTGTGGAAGCTAACGTTGTACCTTTTTGACGAAGGTCATTTGGACAACAC